TTAGTTGTCTGAGATGTGCCAGCACACCAGTGAGACTAAACTGCCTTCACAGGGAGAGAGAGAGAAACCACCTTCCAAGGTACCTTTCAGAGATGCTTGTGGAGAAAATGATACACTGATAGAAGAGGCCAGGGAAGCAACTGGGAGGGACAGATATTACAGGAGACCTGAACAGACATGAGTGGTGTACCTGTAGCTCTGCAGCCCCAGGCTCTCCAACTCCCTCCTGAAAATGATATGAAAGGTCCAGTCGGTTCCATGAATGTCATGGTGGCTTCAGCTGAATGGCAGCTGTACTGAAACAGTGCAATTTCTCAAGGGCAAGGTAGCTAGCTGAATTGGAAAAGATCCTATTTGACCCCCCATGGCCTTTCTCCATCAATTGTGTTTTCCTGTTTCAAACTCAGCCGTTTATTAAAGTAGGTAGGATCACATTCATCACATCGATGGAGCCTAGTTTCTCTTAGAAATCAAAAGTCCTGACATTAAATCTACGGAGTTTGTCTGCTGTTTGAACACACAAATAGTAGTCCTAGTTGAATTCAGAAGATTTGCCATAAGAGCTTTACTCATTCCTGGTGTCCCCATCAAAGAGCTTGAGTGAATAGCAGCAATCTAATCCACGTGTGGGACACTGTGGGTGTTTACTGGTCAGGGTGGGGCAACAAATGAGACAGGTTGTGGTGTGATTCAAAACTGAGGGTCATGGACCCTCTAAAGCTGTATGTTTTCAAATGTTTCCTTTAATTACGTTTGTTTCATTTTTCCTTGATTAATAAAATACAGAGCTTTGGGGCTGATTATTTTTTAGTCTATCTGGATCCTTTGTGGAACTGGGAAGTACATCGTCAGCTTATACACAAGGTGGCACCCTGTGATTCTAACCAGGTCTGAGAGGAGCGATGCTGCTAAGAGACTGAGCCACAGCCATAAATTTTTATTTAGCATCTTGTTTTTTTCACTATAGCGAATATAAAGATGATAGTAGATGTTTAGCACGTCACCTTTGAGTTGCAGTCTCCGTCCTTATGTCTCAAAGATTCAGAGTTGCCTCAGTAAAGGGCACTGGGACCAGGGGGTTGATTCTGGTTGATTGTAATGAATGCAGACCCCACATTCAGATTACATATGGAAAACAACGAAGCTTTATTGGTACTGGGCTCATTCCTGGGAACATTAGGGGAGGGGAGGGATGCAGTTCACATACCAACCCAATTAACTTTCAATTGGGTTTGCTGAAATAGGGAACCAATTAGAAAGAACGTGACATTTACAAAACTCAGAAATAGTTGGATAGCGACTGTGTTTACTAGTTTTGAGGTTTCTCTCAAAAAGTAATTTGTTCATTATTTGGAAGCTGCCTGCCCTGATTGCAGTACAGGGAAATGGAAGTTGGAATATAATCCCAATCCTTACAGTTATTTGACCTTTATTCTAATCTAGACTACATTTAGAAAGCAGTTTTAAAACTATTTCTAATTCTTGGGTATTTATATACTATACTTGCTTAGCTAAATGCATGCCATTTGGAACTGGCCCAGAGCATATATAAGCAGACCAATTTTAGGATAACTGTACTCAGTGCATTGTATGTGGAAATTAAAATAGGATATTAGGCTACACAACCATTTGAAACAGGTTTAGATAAAAACGTTTTATAACAGGATTTACCTCAAAAGTTGAAAAGATACTTTGTTTCTAGCTCTAACAAGTATATGGGTATTTAACAAATAGATTAGATATCAACTTTATGAAAAATAGTATTTGTATACAAATAAAAGCTATTTTCCAAATGTGAAACAGAGGCATTCTGTTTTGGGGACTGAACTGGAAGCCAAGAATACACAGGCTGTGTCCCACTTGCAAAGCATACTGTGTTATCTGCTTCAAACTATTTTATTACCAGCTCTATAATCATTGTCTATAGGGCAAGGAGAGAGTGGAGATTTGTAGAAGAAATCTGTTACATAGTCAAGGAAAAAGAACAATAAAACAATAACTACTAGAGCAAAAACCTGTTACTGTAATAGCATTTCCGGTTTCAAAAAAGTTTCTTTGAACTGCTTTAATTGGTCCTGAAACTCAGGGTAGGTCATAATAAAAGCAAATCTTGTCAGCAATGCCTAGGTTGGATGACAGGACAATAGAGCATGTGAACTCCAAGCTGGACTGGAATGGGGTCATTATCACTAAATTTCTTCAGGGAAAATCAGTCAACACATATATGTGAGGAGCCTGCAATATGTGAGGTACAGAACTAGAGATATGGTGATTAACAGAGCAGACGTTGTTCCTGCTCTGCTTAAGGCTACTGCATCTTTAGGCTCTGGGTTATGACTCTATTAATCACAGGTTAAAAGGGTCTCAGTAATCTGGAAGAGCAACTTTAGAATGTTGAATGAGCTTGGACAGCAGTGTGGCACTGATGAGAAAACAAGAGTTTCCGAGTCAGGCTAGACCTGGATTTTGAACCAGTTTGTGAATTATTAGTGTTGAGACTCGGCAAATTGGCTGTCTGAGCCTGTTTCCTTATTAGTAAAACTATAAAATTTCTTCATAGGGTTATAATGAGAATTAAGTGGAATGCAATTAACTGAGATAATATACATAAAGTACTACTGAAGTGTGTGGTCTATTATAGATACTCAATATTTCCTTTCTTGAAAGAGAGTAACAATAAATATATTGAAAAAAACAGTTACCCTTTCTGAACTTGAGAAAAGCTCTGGATGACTCCCTCTGCCCGCTTTCAGGCTTGAATACAGTGTTGACCCCCTACCAACAAGATCTTGTTCTTTGCAGAGAACTAGAACTGTGCCAGAGGGGAGTATTCAGAGCAGGACATGACCATAAGCTTGAGAGAGGTATTGCTTACAAGTGAGTCACAGCACCTCCGTTGTTTCCAACAACAAAGTGGATGGGAAACACTTAAGCCTTGCTAAATAGTGCTCGATATCTTGCTGGGTCAAATGTGTTAAGACTATTTAGACAGTGTCATGAAGTCCATACACAAAGTGGGAGGTGGGGAGAAAAGAGAGGTAGAAAAAGGGAGAGGGGAATAAGGAGATGAGGGAGAGGTAATCGAGGAAGAGACAGAGTTTTGATGCCAAATAAAAATGACTGTAGATACCAATTCTTTCACTCTGGAATTCAGGCAATCACCTATTTTTCTCTGAGCCAAACAGAATATTTATCAATTATTAGAAAACGATAATATGTGTTACACTTTTCCTAGGGTTTTTGTACAAAAGCTGTAATGCTTAAAGACTAAAGAAGAAACCCTTGGCTAACCAAAGTTAATGTCAACAATAGCTTTGATACTTTTAAAGTTTGAGTCTACTTCATTTCCCCTCTTCTTTAGAACTTTCTCTAACCAGTTCAAGCTAAGGTAATGTATCTGTTCTCTGCTGTCTTACAGCAATTATTGCCTGTACAACTCATTTTGTAACTAATCATGTTCTACTGCCATGTGTCATCTACTGTGTAAAGTATTTACGCTTTTTTTTTTTTTTTTTTTTTTTAGAGAGAGGGAGAGTGCGTGTGTGCAAGCAGGATGGGGGACAGGGAGAAGGAGAAAGAGAATCCGAAGCAGACTCCAGCAGTGGGGGGTGTTGGGCAGGCCAAGATGGGGTTGGATGTCACCGCCCTCAGACCATGATCTCAGCAGAAATCAAGAGTCCCATACTCAACGGACTGAGCCACCCAGGTGCCCTGAGTATTTACACTTTTTAATTCCCCCCCCATCATTTATCATTCCTGTTGCCCAGTTCTTCAACTACTTATGACTCTTATTGTTACTCATCTTTCCAACCATCCTGTCATCCCATTAACATGAAAGCTCCATGAGGGCAGGAACTTCAAACCTCTTTGCCTCTTCCACAATACCCAATGTTTTACACACACTTGCCACTTTGGAAATGTGTGCTGCCTTGGCTTACTTTTATAAGTTTAACTCTTAAGAACTCGGTTTTTGAAATCTGAGAAATATCTACCACCCATTAAATAACTCTAAGAAGTTTGGGTGACAGGTTCAAGGGCACTTGTTGCATCTGGCAGCCTCAAACATTAACCCTCACTGCTGCCATTCGCATCTTCCCGGCGAGGGCGACGATGAGTGAAGATGCATTACCGCGAAGAGTTCTTTGGGCCAGGTACTGAAGAGCATGCAGGGTAGAGGGCCGGGACTGCATGACCGTTTTCGGGGCGGGCGGACCGGCAGATCTGCGCCGCTCTAAGTGGGCAGACGGAACGGACCCTTCGCACCTCCCAGGGATGTGCGAATTGGAGGATGCGAATTAGCCGGCTTTCGGGGCACCGTGGACATAGCGCTTTCTAAGTACAGGCTCGGTGGTGGCTGTTGTGCCCTGGCTGACATCTTCCTTTCCCGCTCACGGACTTCTGCAGACACGCGCTGCTCCGCGCTGCCGTGTCTTGCCCAGCGCTTTCCTTCGGGGCACCCAGCAAGCGGCGGGTCGGGGCCGCGGAGGCAGAGGCGCACGCTCAGGGGCGCGTTAACTTGCGCACCTGGCACCTGCCACAGGGCTAGACGCGGCCGGCAAGCCGAGAGCCGCCGCCGCCCCCTCTCCCCTGAGCTGCCCGAGGCTGAGCACGCTCCCGCGGGCCGGCCGCGCCGCGGAGAGAGTGGGTGGGCAGGCTAGGGAGGGGAACGGAGAGGAAGGAGGGAGGAAGGGAGGGAGAGGGCGAGGCGCGTCCCCGCGGCGGGGGCGCGCTCTCGCGCGGGCTGCCGGGATCGCTCGCCGCCGCTGTGGTAATGTCCGCCATGTTGGCCATGGCGCAGGGAGCGGATCGGGCGGGCGAGCGGCGGATCTAGTGTGTGGAAGCGGCCGCGGGCGGCGGGGGGCTGTTTTCGGGCGGGGTGGGCGCCCATGCTGTGGCCGGGGGCAGTGAGGAGGAGGAGGAGGAGCGGGCCGGCCGCGCTGCACTGAGGAAGGAGGTGGAGGAGGCGGCGGGAGTCCTCCCCCCCTCCCCGCCCGCCCCGCCGCCGCCGCCCGGGCTGTTCCTGTAAGGCGGGGAGACAATGAGTAAACTCTCTTTCCGAGCGCGGGCGCTGGACGCCGCCAAACCGCTGCCTATCTACCGCGGCAAGGACATGCCTGATCTCAACGACTGCGTCTCCATCAACCGGGCCGTGCCCCAGATGCCCACCGGGATGGAGAAGGAGGAGGAATCGGTAGGGACTCGAGTGTTTATTACCCCCCCTTCCCTCCTCCCCCCTCCCCTTTGTCAGTCGGGCCTCGCCATTCACAGAGCGCTTTACGCTCGCTGGAGGGCGCCTCTGCCGCTCCAATGCATGGGACCCTACGCCGGCGGAGTAGCGTAAACCCTCTCGGCCGGCGCAGCGCCCGCCCGCGGCCGCCATGTTGTTGCGTCCCAGTGTTGTGATTAGCTCGCAGCGCCGCTTACGCTGCCGTAAGGGGGCCTTGCCGTAAGCGGCGGCCGGGAATGGCGCAGGGGATGTTCTGGCCGCACTTGGCGTACGGCCTCTGTTTACCTCCTTCCTTCCCCCCCAATCTTTCTCCGGTGCGGGGTTAATTAATGGGCGAGGGATCCTTTGGATAGGAAGGATCCCCCCCCCCTTTCAAATTTAGTTTTGCATTGGGTTCTTTTTAAAATGACTTAAGGAAAGTAAAACGCGTTCAAAACAATCATCTTCCTTCTAGCAAGGTAACCCTCGCTCTCGAGCCGGCGGTGGTGCGGCTGGATGAGGCGGTGCAGCACTGCGGCGGCGAAGGGCGGGGGCCGCGACTACCCAGTGGGGTGTAGCGGTAGAGAGCCGTTGACCGGCTAGCTCCCCGGCCGCGAGAGGGACGGCGCTGCCGGCCTGGCCAGGAAGGCGCCGGCTCGGCGCGCAGCGTTAGAAAGCAAATAGGGATGTTCCGCAAGGAGCTGCTGGTGCTGCCCCGTCCCGCGCCGTGTCCCCGAGAATTGTCATCGAAGAGGAGGGTCTTCTAGAAGTTGAGGATTTAATGCATCTAAATTGACAGTTACGTTTTTTTATAATACATTGCTTTCTGCAAAAATTGTGCTTTTCTCCCTGACGGGATTTTGCATACGGATGAATTTTATCTGGCTTGATTGTGTTTATGACTCTGGAGTGGTGTTACTTGCGTGCGAAGTTCATAGTAACTGCACCCTCAAGAATTTCTTCAATGAACCTGCGGTCCCGCCTTATTGTCAGCCCTGGATGTGCGTGGATTGGTTCTCTTGCTTCTGTGACTGTCAGAAGAAGGCTCGAGGTTTCTGTGATTGGTTTTCTCTTTTGACTATTAATATTGCAGGAAATGCTTTTATGCCTTTGATTGGCTGCTCCAGTTCTGACCTCATTATATTACCCTGTTATTACTACTTTCTGCTGTGATTTAATCACATTTTTCTTTGGTCTTTGGTTACTTGAAAGTCTTGCACTTTGAGTAGAAAATGAATATGGCAATAGTATCAGGATGAACATTCGATATTCAGCCTTTCAAATAATAAGATGAAACCCCCCCAAGCAAAAGAAAACCCAATATTTGCAGTAGATTTAGATCTAAGTCATATGAGAACATTCTTTTTATTCTTAAAGTTTATTTCTACCTTAGCTCAGTTTTCTATGTGAATGATAATTAAAGTTATAGTATGTAGGAGAATTAATTGAATTAAACTTTAAAAAACACAACTTTGTATTCCACAAAGTTAAATTTATTATTTTATGGGTTTTGATAAAAAAAGGAGAGGTAGCTCATGAGTCTGGAAGTATCAATAAAGAATGTAATTCCTTGGATCCCGTTATTTTGGTTTGAGAAGAACTGAAATCAGGAAAGTTGTTCAGAATGAACATTTAGCCCCAGAAGATAAGCTGCGTTTTGTGAACGGTGATCAGCAATATATTTACTGCTTTAGGTCCTTAGTTTGCCACATATATTTTGGTATTTTATCTGAATTGAGGAAGAAAACTGCAGTTTAGTTATTCTTTTAATGATGTATTAAAAAAGAAATGTTTAACCCTTTCCCTATTAACTTTTTCAGAAGTTGTGGTTTCCCATCTAGAGATTGGAAATTAGATTATATTGGACAATTTTCAGTACGCTGCTTCAGCTGCCCAGTTTTAGGGAAGAAGAAATCCAACTTCTTATGGAACTAGAGTTGAAACCCCGGACTTCTGACTCTTTGTCCTGTCCTTTCTACCTCTTCAGTATTCCAGGTGGAGGTACTTAAAATCAAAACAAAACTAAACAAACTCTGACAGTTAAGATTTATAGTATAAAGTCTTTCCCTTCCCAGAATGTCCAATTGGGGTGTTAGTTTTTTTCTTTTCATCTTTTAAGTTGACATGTAAGTCAAAGGACTTGTGCTTTCATGAGTGACAGCCAGTTCAGTTCTTCTGGTCTTATTTACAGGATTTCTGTTATTCAGTAGAATTATATGTGCTTCAAAAACATGTTCTTCCATGATCAACAGTTCTAAGCAGCAGTAAAATATAAATCTCATAAATGTTTTGTGTTTCAGTTGAATTGTATTTCAATTCAGCTTCCATTATCAGCATGTTCTAATTACTTTCATAAGTATTTCTTTTAATCATGTAGACTTGTAAAAAAACAAAAACAAAAAGCTTTGGCTTGTGGATTTATAATTGTTGCTTTTTGCATTTCTAAACTGTCCGCAGTATGACTCCCTTGCTGTTTGGTTGACAAAATCCTTTGACTGTACTTGAACCACCTTCATAGATTTTACTTCTCTTTCTATTCCTGCTCCCCCCTCCCCCGCCAGTAAAATTAAGGACCATATCTATCGGATTGTTATTAGACTTTGTTTATATAGTCATTGACTCAGTTTTGAGTTACATTTTGATGATACTTAGATGAGGTAATTTAGGTGTTGTTTGGCACTGATAGCACTCTGTCATTCTCTTAGCTCTTCATTTTCTTTTGGACATGCAGCCATCTTCTCTTCCCTTTCCTTAGTTTGTCTTTTGCCTAAGGTCTGCCCTTCTAAACTTGCCCTCCAAGTGCCCTCATGGCACTTGGTTTAGGTCAGATACTGTAAACATATGTTTGTTTAGAACTTAGCCAGAGAGATCAGGTGATCGGTGATTCTGCCACCTCACCTGAATGTTGTATAGTGGCAGTTGATATTTTTTTATAATAACATTTTTTTAATATTTCTAGTGTCTCAGATAACGTTAAGAACTTTACATACTATTATTTCATTTAATCCTTTTTAAAAATCAACTTTTTTGAGGTAAAATTTACATACAGTAAAGTGTTCATTTAAAGCATAGAATTTGATGAGTTTTGACAGATGTGTACACCTGAGGAAATGCCACCACAATCAAGATAAAACAACATTTCAAACACCCAAGAAGTTCCCTTTTGCTTCTTTGCAAGTCAGTCCCTCTCCACTAGTAGTTCAAAGCAACTGCTGATTTGCTTTCTCTCCCTGTAGATAAGTATTATCTTTTCTAGAATTTCATTTAAATGGATTTCGTATTCCCTTGTGTTAGGCTTCTTTTGCTCAGCATGCTGCATTAAAGATTCATCCTTGTTACATGTATCAGTCCATTCCTTTTTACTGAATAGTATTCTAGTGAGTTGATATAATATATTCATCCATCCATCTGGATATTTGAATTGCTTCCTGTTCTTGGTTTTCATTTAATCCTTGTAACAGTCCTGGGGAGTTTTATTGTTTTTATTTTATGGATGAAGAAACTGCGGGTCTCGCTGTTAGTAACTGGCAGAGCGAGTGAATGCCCTTGCCTTTAATATCATAAAAACCATTCTTATAACCACTAAGCTTCATATCGACTTCTTACAGAACCACAGATTAGCTTCTGAACTGTTACCATGTTCATTACGGTTTTTGTAAATAATGTTTTACTTTTTATAATTTTGGGAACTTTGAAAGATGACATCAGTTTGATTGGAATATTAAATTATTAAGTGTAGTTTTTGGTCACTGAACTGTGTCTGATTTTTGCTTTGGGCTTTTCAGATTTTCTGTTTCTTTTTTTTCTTAGAAGTTTGTTAGCTTTGCTTCCCTGTCCTGGCACCATTGTGTTTATCTGAATGTTTATGTTATCTTAAGCATATAAGAAGTTTGTGGCAAACTATCCTATTTTATTGTTTAGATTTTATCCTAATAGAATGCAATCTTTGTAAGGACAAGGATTTTTGCATATTTTGTTGCCCAGAACTCTGTCTGACACATAATATATGCTTGCTAAATGTGGGTTAAATGTTGAATGAGCCTTTAATTTTTTTTTTTTCTGTACGAAGATCTATGTTTTTGTGGAACACTGTGTGTGTGTGTGTGTGTGTGTGTGTGTGTGTGTGTAGGTGTGTGTGTAGGTGTGTGTGTGTATAAAATTCATTAGCAGAATTTGGTAAATTATTCTTAGGGGAATTCTTTTTGGTTTCTTACTTTGGTATAACATATACATAAATGCCAAGCCTTTTTTTTTTCCCCCCCTCTCTTGAGTGAGAGGCTCTTTTAAATACAGAATTTTTTTATGCATAAGGTATGGCTGCATACCTTGTCTTGTGTTAATTATTCTTAACAGGTGTATGTAGGTTTATGTAAGATATCTTTTTGTAGTAACATGTACCTTGAACCAAACTCTACATGAAGCAGGTGATTCTGCTTATTTTTAAAGAAAAAGACCGTGACTGATTTGAATTACTTTTTCTCCTTTTATGTTTTAGTTGTCTAATTTTGGTATTCTCTTAATATTTTAAGGGATATTTTCAATGATAGAGTAGGAATATATTCAGTCTTTCTCACATTTCAAAGTTACTTTTGGCACTGATACATTTCATAGATCATGATAGGGTTCTAGAGAGGATATAAAATACAATTTTGTAAATTGATCTTGTAAAAACATTTAACATTTATTCTTTCAACAAAAGCAAATACTTACCAGGTATCATCTGAGTGCCAGGTGTTACTTAAATATGGCATTTGTGAAGTATTTTTTTAAAAGACTTTATTTATTTGTCAGAGAGAGAGAGAGCGAGCGCGTACACAAGCAGGCAGAGGTGGAGAGAAGGCTCCTTGTGGAGCAAGGAGCCCGATGTGGGACTCTATCCCAGGACCCTGGGATCATGGCCTGAGCTGAAGGCTGCGGCTTAACCAGCAGAGCCACCCCGATGTCCCAGACATTAGTGAACTATTTTAAAGAGGTAAATATGTCTA